CTGTACTGTACTGTACTGTAATGTACTGTACTGTCCTGTGCTGTACTGTGGTACTGTACTGTACTGTACTGTCCTGTCCTGTCCTGTACTGTACTGTACTGTACTGTACTGTACTGTACTGTACTGTACTGTACTGTACTGTACTGTAGATGGAAGAGACATAACTGAGATAAGAAATAGAATCATCATCATCACTTCTCGTTATGCCTAGTGGCACATGAGGCTTCAGAGAGGACTTTCCATGCTTTCCTGTCCTGTGCAATCTTCAGTGCAGTTTTCCATGTCAAAAATGCCGCACTCAGGTCACTTTCCATTGCTCGTCTCCATGTTGTTTTTGGGCGCCCCTGTTTTCTCTTTCCCTCTGGTGTCCATGTGAGAGCTGTTTTAGCAGGTATATCAGAAGTCATTCTCATAACGTGGCCAAGCCATTTCCATCTTCTCTTTGTTATCATACTGTCTAAAGTTTCTTGGTTTGTGGCTTGAAGTAGTGTAGTGTTTGAGATTGTATCTGGACAGAAAATTTTGATAATTCTACATAGATATGTGTGGTGGAAGGTGGACAGCTTGTGTGCATCCTTTTTGGTCATTCTCCAGTATTCCGCTCCATAAAGAAGAACTGGCAAAATGATGCTCTTGTAGAGTCGAAGTTTCGTTTCTCTGCAGAAATAGAAATAGAATAGGACAGGAAAAACTGCATTTTATAAAATGGAGAAGATCTTGTGCAATATATACTTGTCATTGAGAGTTAGAAAAAGAATTCTTGCTTGCTACATACATCCAGTTTTAACATATGGCTGTGAGTCCTGGACAATCGGTAGGCAGGCCAAACAATTTCTTGAGGCCTCAGAAATGTGGTTTTACAGAAGAATGTTTAGAATACCTTGGACAGCCAAAAAGAGCAACCAAGAGGTTTTGAAAGAGGCGGGAGCCCGAAGACAACTTATCACAGACATCAGAAGGAGACAGTCATCATTTTTCGGCCATGTTATGAGAAGAGGGAAAAAAGAACATGTTGTGACCACTGGAACGATCTGTGGAAGGAGGGATAGAGGAAGACAACGAGAGAAGATGCTTGACAGTCTTGTTGCATGGCATGGAGGTGTGTCGGCACACGAACTGATACATGAGGCATGATCGCCCACGCCAGTCGGCATGGCACCTGATGATGAATATGACTGTAATTTTAGTAATATAAATAATAGTGATGGTGGCAGTAATAATATTAGCAGTAGTTGCTGTGGTGGTATTTGCCTTAGCTGTGGTAGTAGTAATGGTAGTGGTGGTAGTAGTAATGGTAGTGGTGGTAGTAGTAGTTTGATTGACAGCATTAGTGGTGGTATTATTAGTTGTGGAAGCAGTATAGCAGCAGCGGTGACTGTATTCATTGTGGCAGTAGCATTGCTGTAGTAGCGGACATTGCTGTAATAATTCCAGTATAACTGGCAAAAAGTAGTGGTGATATTAATTGTTGTAATACATCTTTAGAATATAAACGCTAGGAATATTAACCCCTGAAATATTTGTAGAATTTAAAGCGGTAACACTTGCTTAAGAAAAAACAAACATACACACACATTTAAGCAAGCTTATCAACAACACATTCCAATGTTCAGCCATACCTGATGATTCAAGAAAGAAACTCACCAAGTCTTTTGGGAATGTATTTCCTGATTCGAAAAAAGATCCTATCAAGTCTTGTCATATAATATGTAACACTGTTTGACTTCTCGAACTGTCTGTACTCATACAGGCTCGACTAAAACTGACTCACAGCGGAAATAAAAAAAAAATACCCCACACAGTAAAACCAGTCATCCGTGTCGCGTGTACTCACGTTAGAAAACCGCACACGTTTAAGACAAGCATGCGTTTCGTCTGCTCCAACAGCTGCTGCTCGGGTTATGAAAAATGCACAGCTGCCGTGGACTTATAGTTTTGTGTACAGGTTGGATCAATATGTCTGCCTGTTGTTTGCCCAATGTTTCACTCTTGATTTCATGAGTAACTGTTGTAACACAGCGGGCAGGCTGTCAAGGAGGTTTTCAAATGAATCGTGTTAACGTTTTCTGTAGTCAAGGCTGAGTGCTTACGTTTCATTGGGGAGGGGAGGGGAGGGGTAATAAAGAGCAGAAGAATTTACAAGTAAAGCCATTAAAATAAAGGACCATTTTTCAAGCCGTCACGCGTATTGGGAATATAGGACCGATATTTTATAGACCAATCAGCACTCGGTAGTGATGTGGTAAACACCGCGCCGACCGTCTTTACTTCCAAAGTATCTGGTACCCACTCAAGGCTGAGTCGACCCGGGAACTAAAATCATTTCTGAAGAAAAAAAGTTCGGCTTCGTTGGGACCCTAACCCATGACCTTCTGATCCAATCAAAGGCTTTGTGGGATCAATTCTGGGTGAACGAAAATCCAGCTGTGTTTGTGTGTGTATGCGCGCGCGTGCGCGCATGACTGTTTATTATGAAATATTACGTTTAGTAGTTTGCCATTGCTAATGAACGGCCAGCTCTCGAGACCATTGTCGAAACCAGCTCAAGGAGGACTGATGGCAAATTCACTAGCAGCTGCAACGTCTTCAGCTTTAAACTGACTGACTGACTACCAAACCAGGACATCACACAAGCGATAAACACCCGATGACACAAAGTGCCACCATGTGGATGAGGATCGCCGTGGAGAGGTCCCAGAAACCGCGTTCAGACAATTGGCCATATTTATGGCCTGCCTATATTGCGGCCCCTGGCAAAAGCCAGGGTGGGGCTTCAAATAACAAAAAATTTCGTCCTAAAAAGGACGAAACACATATTGCATTCAGCTTTAAATGGGAAAACAACCTTTTTATGTCCATGCGCGCCGGATATATGTTGCGGACTCTACAGACCACTCGGCGCTGGGTAAATAATATAGCAACACCCCCTCGCTACAGGACGGTGCCTACCACGAGCCAGTCTTTGATTTTATCATTTACATGTACCCCAGCTCGCTAGTGTAGTTCGTTAAAGCTGACTTCGGGGCGACCGGGTGACGAACTCCTTGTGGTCCGGATTCACTCCAGGGGGTAGGCAGAAAAGCCAAATCTCTCCCAGATTTACGGTACTCATGGTTTCTGAATACGTAAAAAAAATCTACATGTATCACTGCATACCCCTCGTCTTCAACTCCCCTCATTACTGTGACAGTTTCTGCCATGATCCAGTCTGTTACGTTATCATCCCACTTGTATCATTGCTCTTCTTCTTCTTCTTCGATCCTTCTGTCAGAAAACTTATATCAGGAGGCCGGTAGCCTTTATGAAAGCTATCGTGCAATCCATATCCTCTTGTGTACCATACAGTTTTGTCTTCATTGTGGTTGGAACAGGCCAGATTGCGTCTCTGTTGTCAGCATACAGTTGACAGTGTTGGAGCACATGCTCAGCGTTTTCGGGTGCCACGCTGCAGGGACACGTCTCCGTATTTCCTACACCGAAAAATTTGAACATATGTTGACAAAATCTGTTGTGCCCTGTCCTTAGTCTGAATATAATAGACCGTCTCTCTCTAGAGAGGCGATGAAGTGAGTCTTGGGGAGAAAATCTGGTGTGGGTATCCAGCCACCTTTCTTGGATCCTAGATTGTATTAGTGTTTTCATCTCTTGGTGGGTTAAGTCGCTTTTTGGTTGTACCATGTCACTGCCGCTTCTGGCCAATCTGCCCGCTATTTCATTGCCTTCCAAGCCACAGTGACCTGGAATCTACTGCAGTACAGATTGTTCTACTGAAGAGCCTAAGTAAATCAGCTGTTGCGTCAAGTCTACAAACTGAGTGTCTTTTGGGTTAACAATTGCTTGTAGAACTGACAGCATCAGTCAGAAAGACCACTCTGCTATATTTGCTGTGCTGTTGTCCATTCAGGAAAGAACATGCTGCTAGAAGTGCTTCTGCCTCTGCTCTGTAATTGGAGGAATATGAACCTGTTGGTACAGCCTGGTTGATTTTTAAACCATTTGGGCATTCTATGTATATTCCTCCTCCTCCGTCTCTTACTGCTCTCTTGGCTGAACCATCTGTATACACTCGAATCCAACTCTGGTGTGGGTAAAGTCTATTGATCTCTCCTTCTGTAGTTGATTTCATATCAGTGCTGCTCATTGATGATTTGGAGGAGACCCCTGTTACAGTGGTTCTGACTGTTGGTAGGCTATCCCTAAGCCAAGCGGGGCAGTCGTTGTAAGGTTTAAGTGGAACATTTGGTATTATGGGAGGGAGTTTAAGGACAGCGAGCTTGGCATTTGCGTTCTTAATAAAGCAAGTTCTCTTTAGTCTAGCCTTCTGGGGTTTCTGTAGTCGGCTGTACATGGGTTGTTCTTGAAAGTGGTGGTATTTGGAGAGCTGGGTGAGGATCTTTGTGTCTCTCCTATCTTCCAGATTATGGAGACCAGTAATTGTTTCCATATCTGATATGAGCGTGGAGCGCATTGCCCCTGTCATAATACGGAGAGCATGGTTTTGGATCTTTGAGACTTTCTGAAAATTTGATTTAGCTGCTGTGCCCCAAGCAGCTATTCCATATTCTAGTGTTGGCCTCACATAGCCTGTATAGGTCCTCTTAAGGACATTGAGGTTTGCCCCCCAGTCTGTTCCAGCTAACTTCCTCATCAGTTGTGTTCTCTTGAGTCCCTTGCTCTGTGTCTTTTCTATCTGTTTTCTCCATGTGAGTCTTGAGTCAAAGGTTACTCCTAAATATGACGGTGAGTCATCATGTATCAGTGCCTGGCTGCCATATCTAAGTGAAAATTGCTTACCCCTTGCTTTCAACTCCCGCTTCCGACTGTGACAGTTTCTGCCCTAATCCAATCTGTGGCGTACGGACCAGCAGCCAAACTTCCGGTCTAGGCGTTGTCCCAGCAGATGTGAACCTGTCCCCCTCCAGTCCAAGCTCCAACAACAAGCCGCAGACTCCCTACTTTAAAGCTCCATTAACTGACAGTCGAAGCTTTTCCTGACATCCATGGAGACTCTGCCTTGTCATGATTTCGATTTCACAGATGGAGTCAACAGCCAAGACGGTAGCCAGCCGGAAGCCTGGGGCCGACTCTTTCCTTTGGGCTCCAGTTTTGTTGCCATGGGTCAGTTGAGCATTCGTTTATAAATAAATCATTGACATTATAGTTATCAGCTGGTATGGTATAGTTTCGTCCGTGTGTTACCAGGGACGTTCTTCTGCTTTCACCTCCACCTTCTTCTCTTCTTTTTCTTAAGTATTCCGAGCCCTTCTGCGTTTATTGCTGCAGATATCACTCAAATATCACCCGCCTTCGTTCGTCTCCAATTTTATTCCGGTAATCTGAAGTTTCAGCTTCATAGCTAACGGGTAATTAATTTACATACAGAAAGAGGGTGCTAAAATGTTACATAGAACCTGTTCTGCTGTATGACAGCGAATCTTGGAATGTCACTGAACAAATTAAGAAGAATTTGGAAGCAACAGAGATGTGTTTTCTGAGACAAATGTTACGAATATCTAGCGACTACAGTTTCGACAATTTGCGGTCTTTTTGGCAATTTCCGTTACCATGGAAACAGATTGAAACTTGTTTGGGAAATGTCGGCTGGGGTTTCGGGATGGGTCCTAATCTCTCATGAAATTTTGCGATTGGTGTGATTTTAACCAGCTATAAATAGCTGAAAATGGCGGGAACGAACCCAATTAACAGCGCATGTCTACGACAGCCGGACGTACTCTGTTTTTCTGTTACATCAGTTTGATTGAAAATAGCGGTAAGTATAATTTTTGTATTGAAGGTTGGCTTTAGGCCTTAAAACATTACCAGACGTGGTAATGCTAGTTATAATTGAATTCTCTGTCCAATTTTACATTTGTATATAACATTTCTTTCCTATGTATGGCTACTTTGATTTACAGTGACATTTTTCAGGCGATCGCTATTATGTGGCTGTGTCTGAGAAAAATTGTCTGCCATCTTGTCCAATGTAAAGAAAGCCGAAACGAAAGTGCGCAGTTTGGTTGCGCAGAGAAAACTTCTTGTTTCTGAGACGCAAGTTTTCAACAGCTGTTTTTTACATCTCATCTCCACAAAAACCTACATATCTCAGCTCAGAAATGATATACAAGCCTAAATGAGGTACCATTGGAAAGAGATTGTTTACAGCTATCTAACTGTGCTGGTTTTATTGGTGTAGAGGGCATTTTAAAAATTTGACTAAAGTATCTACGAATATCTTGGATGGCCAGAGTAACTAATAAAGATTGCTTGAAAGAGGCTAATGAAAGTTGGGCTCTCCTTTAAATAACGATCGCTAGCTGGAAAGCCGACGGTCGCTTAGTGGGAGCTCACTCCCTTGGTTGCAGTGCAAATACTTAGCTGGTGATTTCAGCATCACGCCAGCCACATTGACTTCCCAGGACTTAATCTCCTGCCCACTCAAGTTTGGGTCAACCTGGAGCCAATGTGTTTTTAAAAAAGAGCAGGCTCTGTCAGGATCTCAAACCCACAACCTTCCGAGCTGCAGGCGAGCATCTAACCGCGGCTCATTTCATTCCATAATTTTATTTATATTCTATTCAATAGTTGATCCTTGCTGCTGTAATTGGTGGGGTTTCTATTGTTCAGAACAGAAGGATTCCTAATATTCTTTAGCTTTGGGATTCCTAATATTCTGATCAGTAGAACTGAGGCTGTAGTGGTAACTGTGAGCCTCTGCTGCATGTGGAACATACAGGGAGAAGGTGATGTTGAATATGCTATGTTTCCTTGAGCCAGTGCTTGTTTTTTTTAGATTTAACTGCTGATGAGTATACTTTTGGCCGAGGGGAGAACTGTGATGTTGCTTTCAGCAGTCAGGCTGCTAAGACACACCAGTGTTTTCAGGCGTACAGCAAAGTGCACTTCAAATTGATTCGGGTAAGTCATAGGTTGGGTGTGCTGGTCAAAGGTTGTATAAGTAGGTCAAGGGTTAAATATGTAGATCATGGTTTCATAGAGAGGTCAAGGGTTATATAGGTAGGTCATGGTTTAAATTGGTAGGTCATGGGTTATAAATCTTCTGGAGAGAACACAGAACACAAAGTACAAATCGTCTGTTAAACGAACAAAGCACAAACTGTTTAATTGCTACAGATCTCTGTAAAATGAAAATTGCATTCTTAAACTAAACAACAGGTCTGTTAAATGAACCTGGGATCTTCAGAGCTTGAGGCAAATGGTTTGACACTTTGCACAGAGCCCCCCCCCCCCCCCCCCCCATCATTTGTTTTGTAGAGTTTTGTATGATGGTAATGAGAGTGTTCTTCGGATTCCACATTTGTGTGTTATGGTATTGTCGGTGATATTGTGATTCCACATTTGTGTGTTATGGTAATGTCAGTGATATTGTGATTCGACATTTGTGTGTTATGGTAATGTCAGTGATATTCTGATTCCACATTAGTGTGTTGTGGTAATGTCAGTGATATTGTGATTCCACATTTGTGTGTTATGGTAATGTCAGTGATATTGTGATTCGACATTTGTGTGTTATGGCAATGTCAGTGATATTCTGATTCCACATTTGTGTGTTATGGTAATGTCAGTGATATTCTGATTCCACATTTGTGTGTAATGGTAATGTCAGTGATATTGTGATTAGACATTTGTGTGTTATGGTAATGTCAGTGATATTCTGATTCCACATTTGTGTGTTATGGTAATGTCAGTGATATTGTGATTCCACATTTGTGTGTTATGGTAATGTCAGTGATATTGTGATTCCACATTTGTGTGTAATGGTAATGTCAGTGATATTGTGATTCCACATTTGTGTGTTGTGGTAATGTCAGTGATATTGTGATTCCACATTTGTGTGTTGTGGTAATGTCAGTGATATTGTGATTCCACATTAGTGTGTTGTGGTGATGTCATTGATATTGTGATTCCACATTAGTGTGTTGTGGTAATGTCAGTGATATTGTGATTCCACATTAGTGTGTTGTGGTAATGTCAGTGATATTGTGATTCCACATTAGTGTGTTGTGGTAATGTCATTGATATTGTGATTCCACATTAGTGTGTTGTGGTAATGTCATTGATATTGTGATTCCACATTTGTGTGTTGTGGTAATGTCAGTGATATTGTGATTCCACATTTGTGTGTTGTGGTAATGTCAGTGATATTGTGATTCCACATTAGTGTGTTGTGGTAATGTCAGTGATATTGTGATTCCACATTAGTGTGTTGTGGTAATGTCATTGATATTGTGATTCCACATTAGTGTGTTGTGGTAATGTCAGTGATATTGTGATTCCACATTAGTGTGTTGTGGTAATGTCAGTGATATTGTGATTCCACATTAGTGTGTTGTGGTAATGTCATTGATATTGTGATTCCACATTTGTATGTTTTGTGGTAATGTCAGTGATATTGTGATTCCACATTTGTGTGTTGTGGTAATGTCAGTGATATTGTGATTCCACATTAGTGTGTTGTGATATTGTGATTCCACATTTGTGTGTATCACTTTCAGCAGAACAAGACAACTACAGGAACTCATACATTCTTGGAAGACTTGAGTAGCAATGGAACATTTGTTAATGGAGACAAAGTTGGTGAGTTTGTTCAAAGGCTGAGTCTCTCCGTATGTTTTACTGATTGCCAAATTGTTTCTTGGTCAGTCTGTGTTGATTCTTGTATCTGTCAATGATCAAGTTGTCTTCTCTTGTTTTCTTGACAGTCTTGTACAGCATTGTTTTATACATTTTTCACAAGAATGCTGAAAATTGCTGTCAAGAGTCAGAATGAATAATCTGAATGTTTTGAAAGTGGATGTGATAACAGCTTAGAAATGTTTAGAAAGAGTTGTTATTTGGAGGGAGTTGAGGAAATGGCAAATGATCAGCATGAGTTGGTAGAAGGTCACTGCTGCAATGGGGAACAAAGGACAGAAGATTGTGAGTCATGGTGTACACTGTTGGAACTGGTTCAGATCCTAAAGTCAGCTGCTATTGTCCACTTGCAGGTAAAGGTAAAAGACATGTGCTCAACAACAACGATGAAATCTCTCTGGCGGTCAAGCAGAATAAAGGTAAGCTTTTGTCTGACTGCAGTTGCTAGTTTTTGAACGAATATTTTTTTGAGATCCTTAGGAATTATGTGGTGTTTTATATCTCTAGTCAATTCCTTCTGAGTGCATCTGCCTTAGAGGCAAGGAACCAACAATCTGCATCACTCAGGTTTTGGAACAAGACTAACATCCAGAAGTGGAGGAACAACCATAACGTTTCGCCGGAATTAACAGCTGGTGAACGCGAGAAAAAAAAGAGGAAGTATGTCAGATCTGTAAAACGGATATACATGCACCATTCAGATTCTGGAACAAGACTAACATCCAGAAGTGGAGGAACAACCAAAATTCTCCGCTGGAATTTACAGCCAGTGAACGCGAAGACAAAGAGATCTTTTGATTACACAAGGGCTATTTCTGCCTGTTATATCCTTTGCTTAGTCTGAATGTTTGTTTTTCTTTCTTTAGGGTGTCATTTTATTTTTTTCACTTTGAAGTTTAATTTTTGTTCACTTTGATGGAGTTTGTAAAATGTATGATCATTTTGATGGCTAGGGTGTGATGGGTGCTAGTATAAATTACTATGGATCCTGTGCCCTGGGTATTTGGACGTGCAGGGTAATTAGCAGATTGATATATTGGCTGCTGCCGTGCCTCTGGGTGGTGAACTACATTATGACAAAGTGGACCTGGCGAAGGTTTTCTGTTATCAAGTGGTCGGTGCAACAGAACAGACCTAGTATCCACACATTGACAGACTCATTCAGTGGGTGGTGGATGAGCAGAGAGTCTGGGAGATATTTAACACTGTGGGGAAAACATAGGCGGAATTTTAATCAGGTTGCAACAGGTACTATTTAGCATGTTTGATTTTTCTTTGGCTACTGAGGAATGTGACGGAGAGCATGTGGGAATGTCCTGAGGGAAGGAATTCTTGATTCATAATCATTATTATTCATTAATTATGTATTATTTTCTAGCATATACACCTGTGTATGTTACTGAGTGTAAAATTGTCAAGCATTTCTTCCTTAGCCTATGTGTTCATGGACCTCAACGCAAGTGAAGACAGTCATCTACCAAAAGAGCTGGTGGAAAAGTACACCTTAACTAGGGTGTTGGGGAGGTAACTTGGGTTTGTTAGTTGTTGTGCTTCTAAAGGATCATTGTTTCGATTGATCAGTTTTTTGTTGTTGAGTTGATTGTTTGTTTGGGTTGATCATTTATTTGGCTCTTCTTTCAATACCGGACGGTAGCTGGACGGCTTAGTTCGGCTTAGTGGGAGTTCTCTCCCTTGGCCACATTGCAAACAGGGAGCGGAAAAGTCACGAATCAAATGACATACTTACCTAACATCATACGGTTGAGTGTAGGGTTGCGTACGGTTGCATGTAGGGTTGCGTAGTCATCATACGGTTGCATGAAGGGTTGTGTAGTCATCATACGGTTGCATGTAGGGTTACCTATCATCATACGGTTGCGTGTAGGGTTGGGTAGGGTTTGGGTTAGGGATAGGGTTACGGTTAGTGTTACGGATAGGGTTAGGGGTAGGGGTAGGGTTAGATGTGACAATTTTGACGTAGGAGTTCCAAATACTGGCCGACAATCTGATGCTACTTCTTCCGACGAAAGTATCAGCGCGGTCGCACCTGTCACGGTCGTAGGGCTAGTAGAGCGTCAGACTGGCCGTTGCTACTTGGAGCTTGTGCGAAGACGAGATGTGGCGACATTGGAGACGATCCTGTCGGGAACGACCATCGTGACTGACGCTTGGCGAGGCTCTCCTACGTCAACATTTTCACATCTAACCCTACCCCTAACCCTAACCCTATACCTACACCCTACGCAACCCTACACGTACTTGGGGTGTTTGTTGACTGACTGATATTTGGCTGTGTATTTGTGGTGTTTGTTGACTGGTTGATTACATCATTTAGGTTTACTGATCATTGGCTGAGTACTTGTGGTGTTTGTTGACTGGTTGATTACATCAATTAGGTTTACTGATAATTGACTGAGTACTTGTGGTGTTTGTTGACTGGTTGATTACATCAGTTAGGTTTACTGATAATTGACTGAGTACTTGTGGTGTTTGTTGACTGGTTGATTACATCAATTAGGTTTACTGATAATTGACTGAGTACTTGTGGTGTTTGTTGACTGGTTGATTACATCAATTAGGTTTACTGATAATTGACTGTGTACTTGTGGTGTTTGTTGACTGGTTGATTACATCAATTAGGTTTACTGATTATTGACTGAGTACTTGTGGTGTTTGTTGACTGGTTGATTACATCAATTAGGTTTACTGATAATTGACTGAGTACTTGTGGTGTTTGTTGACTGGTTGATTACATCAATTAGGTTTACTGATAATTGACTGAGTACTTGTGGTGTTTGTTGACTGGTTGATTACATCATTTAGGTTTACTGATAATTGACTGAGTACTTGAGGTGTTTGTTGATTGGTTGATTACATACTTGTGGTGTTTGTTGATTGGTTGATTACATACTTGTGGTGTTTGTTGATTGGTTGATTACATCAATTAGGTTTACTGATAATTGGCTTAGTACTTGTGGTGTTTGTTGAATGCATCAAGTAGTTTACTGATAACTGGCTGAGTACTTGAGGTATTTCTAGTTGTGTTCTCTATCTCCAGGGGTGCCTGCGGTGAGGTCAGGCTAGCTTTTGCTAAAGGTTCTTGTGAAAAATTTGCCTGTAAGATCATCTCAAAAAAGAAATTCTCTGTGGGAGGCAAGACACCTGTTGTATGTATTATCATTGTCATCATCTATGTCCTCGTCTTTGCTGTCATCATCATGTTCATCATCTACATCCTCGTCTTTGCTGTCATCATCATGTTCATCATCTACATCCTCGTCTTTGCTGTCATCATCATGTTCATCATCTACATCCTCGTCTTTGCTGTCATCATCATGTTCATCATCTACATCCTCGTCTTTGCTGTCATCATCATGTTCATCATCTACATCCTCATCTTTGCTGTCATCGTCATGGTCATCATCTACGCCCTCGTCTTTGCTGTCATATCCTGGTCTTCATCTACGTCCTCATCTTTGCTGTCATATCCTGGTCTTCATCTACGTCCTCGTCTTTGCTGTCATCGTCATGGTCATCATCTACGTCCTCGTCTTTGCTGTTATCATCTTTGCTGTCATCATCATTGTCATCCTTTTCATCCTCATCTTTGCTGTCATCATCATGGTCATCCTCTTCATCCTCATCTTTGCTGTCATCATCTTCATCCTCATAAGAAAAAGGATAACTTTGTGTTTGTTATCTTTAACTCATAAGAAAAAGATAACTTTGTGTTTATTATCTTTAACTTTTAAGAAAAAGGATAACTTTGTGTTTGTTATCTTTAACTCATAAGAAAAAGATAACTTTGTGTTTATTATCTTTAACTTTTAAGAAAAAGGATAACTTTGTGTTTATTGTCTGTAAACCATAAGAAAAAGGATAACTTTGTGTTTATTGTCTGTAAACCATAAGAAAAAGGATAACTTTGTGTTTATTGTCTGTAAACCATAAGAAGAAGGATAACTTTGTGTTTCAGAATCTCACCTCTCAAGTGATGGGAGAAGTCAACATTCTAAAAGCTTTGAAACATGTACGTAAGTTTTGATGGAAGTCCCGGTTGTTCATCCACTTGTGGAGTTTGGTCTTGTTCCAGAACTTGAGTTTTGCCTGCATATCCATTTTACAGATCTGGCTTATTTGTGTGCATACTGTTGGTTCCCCCACCTCTCAGACAGATGCACTTCAGTGTCAAAGGAAGCAGCCCTAATTAGTCGACTTTAACAACATGCTTGTTGGGTTTCTGTGGGTCTGTTCTTTTTTACACCCACGATGGGACCCCAGGACCCACATATGGAGATTGCATTCTGAACTGGAGGTTTTTGTGTGTGTATGTGTGTGTGTGTGTGTGTGTATGCTCCTGCGTGTGTGAGAAAGAGAATTATATTCTTGACCCTTTAAATGTGATGGGGTCTGCAGGTCACCAGAGAGGAAACCCTGAGGCTGCCATTTGTTTAGTTTTACTGTGTCAGATCAGAATCTTACAATGTACATCTTTTGCTGTCATGTGTTTAGTTTTACTGTGTCAGATCAGAATCTTATGATGTACATCTTTGCTGCCATTTGTTTAGTTTTCCTGTGTGAGATCAGAATCTTATAATTTACATCTATTACTGTCATTTGTTTAGTTTTACTGCGTGAGATCAGAATCTTATAATTTACATATATTACTGTCATTTGTTTAGTTTTACTGTGTGAGATCAGAATCTTATAATGTACATCTATTGCTGTCATTTGTTTAGTTTTGCTGTGTGAGATCAGAATCTTATAATTTACATATATGCTGTCATTTGTTTAGTTTTGCTGTGTGAGATCAGAATCTTATAATGTACATCTATTGCTGTCATTTGTTTAGTTTTCCTGTGTGAGATCAGAATCTTATAATTTACATCTATTACTGTCATTTGTTTAGTTTTACTGCGTGAGATCAGAATCTTATAATTTACATATATTACTGTCATTTGTTTAGTTTTACTGTGTGAGATCAGAATCTTATAATGTACATCTATTGCTGTCATTTGTTTAGTTTTGCTGTGTGAGATCAGAATCTTATAATTAACATATATGCTGTCATTTGTTTAGTTTTGCTGTGTGAGATCAGAATCTTATAATGTACATCTATTGCTGTCATTTGTTTAGTTTTGCTGTGTGAGATCAGAATCTTATAATGTTCATCTTTTGCTGTCATTTGCTTAGCTTTACTGAGTGAGATCAGAATCATAATTTATATCTATTGCAGCCATTTGTTTAATTTGCTGTATGAGATCATAATCTGATAATGTATGTATATTGCAGCCATGTATCATCAGGATCGAAGATGTCGTTGACACGCCAGAGATGTTGTACATAGTTCTGGAACTGTAAGTGTCCTGTCAGTGACTCATCTCTCATCTAGTGTCTCATCTCTCATCTAGTGTCTCATCTCTCATCTTTCACTCAGAAGATCTTGTTTGTTTACTCAGCCCAACTCAACTTTCACACTGAAAATCTCATTGTTGACTTTATATGTTTGGACTAACATTTCTCATCATTTGCTTCATGTTTAACTCATCATTTACTGCATGTTTCACTAATCATTTCTTATCATTCACTCATTTTGCATCATTCACTACATATTCCACCCATCATTGGCTACTTATTTCTCTCATAACTGACTACATATTTACCACGTGTTTTTCTCTCATCATTTCTCATGTTTGGTGTTACTCAAAATTGCACATCATTTGCTTCATGTCATTCATACTTCTGACTGTTTAGCTGTTTCAGCTGTGTTTTCTGTTCCTTTATCTCTCCTCCAACCAAACTCTCACTATTGACCTATTATTCCTTCATCTTTCATACAATGTGGTCTTTCAGTTTTTACGTGATCTTCATGCTTTTACCTGCTCTATCTTTAAACTCACCAATGTTGACCTTGTCTTATAGTGTAAAATTATAATGCTTCCTCTTCATCCTCTGTGCTCACCATTTAAAGGACGGTTGATTTGCTGTGTTGTGGTTTACAGCTAGGTTGCAGTATCTACACCTTTTGGCCCAACACATCTTATTTCCAATAAACACCTAATTGTTGTTATAGGGTCAGTGGGTCCACTACCCCCCCCCCCCCCCAATGCCCCATGTTGGGGCCTCAGAACTCACACAGGGAATGTCCTAGTGTTATCAGTTGACCACCACACAGTATAACATTAACCACCACACAGTTTAACATTGACCACCACACAGTATAACATTGACCACCACACAGTATAACATTGACTGCCACACAGTATAACATTGACCACCACACAGTATAACATTGACCACCACACAGTATAACATTAACCGCCACACAGTTTAACATTGACTGCCACACAGTATAACACTGACTGCCACACAGTATAACATTGACTGCCACACAGCATAACACTGACTGCCACACAGTATAACATTGACTGCCACACACTATAACATTGACTGCCACACAGTATAACATTGACTGCCACACAGTATAACATTGATCGTCACACACTATAACATTGACCGCCACACAGCATAACATTGACTGCCACACAGTATAACATTGACCACCACACAGTATAACACTGACTTCCACACAGTATAACATTGACCACCACACAGTATAACATTGACTGCCACACGGTATAACATTGACTGCCACACAGTATAACATTGACCACCACACAGTATAACATTGATCGCTACACACTATAACATTGACCGCCACACAGCATAACATTGACCGCCACACAGCATAACATTGACTGCCACCCAGTATAACATTGACTGCCACACAGTATAACATTGGCCACACACTATAACATTGACTGTCACACAGTATAACATTGACCATCACACAGTATAACGTTGACTGTCACACAGTATAACATTGACCACCACACTGTATAACGTTGACTGCCACACAGTATAACATTGGCCACACACTATAACATTGACTGCCACCCAGTATAACATTGACTGCCAAACAGTATAACATTGGCCACACACTATAACATTGACTGTCACACAGTATAACATTGACCACCACACAGTATAACGTTGACTGTCACACAGTATAACATTGACCACCACACAGTATAACGTTGACTGTCACACAGTATAACATTGACCACCACACAGTATAACATTGACCACCACACAGTATAACGTTGACTGCCACACAGTATAACATTGACCACCACACAGTATAATGTTGACTGTCACATGGTATAACATTGACTGCCACCCAGTATAACATTGACCACCACACACTATAACATTGCCCACCACACAGTATAACGTTGACCGTCACATGGTATAACATTGACTGTCACACAGTATAACATTGACCACCACACACTATAATATTGACCACCACACAGTATAACGTTGACCGTCACATGGTATAGCATTGACTGTCACACAGTATAACATTGACCACCACACACTATAACATTGGCCACACACTATAACATTGACTGCCACACAGTATAACATTGACCATCACACAGTATAACATTGACTGCCACACAGTATAACATTGATGGAATGAATCATTTCTGACAGTGTTGAGGGCGGAGAGCTGTTTGACAAGGTTGTTGCAATAGACAAATACGATGAGGCAACAGGCAAGCTCCTCTTCTTCCAGATGGCCACTGCAATCAAGGTCAGTATCATTGCTAACTTTTTTTAACTTGTTTTTTCCTTGATCAGTAGGTGGAGACAGGTGTGGCCTGTTCAGAGTGGCAAGCATTGTTTCAGAGATCATGTTAATGCTGGTGTGTTGGGAAAGGAATATGCAGATAGGCTGGCTGCTTCTACACCACTTGATTGTGAATTGACGAATGACAAGCTAGATTTTGTGGAGGTCCTTTGGGAACGAGTGAACAATGTAGGGGGACAAATGGAGCATCATGATCGGAGGAGAAAGTTGCTAGGAGGAGTGATCTTACTTGTTCATCATGTTTCTGCTGGCTCTGTGTTATTTCTGCTGGCTCTGTGTTGTTTCTGCTGGCTCTGTGTTGTTTCAGCTGGCTCTGTATTGTTTCCGCTGGCTCTGTGTTGTTTCCGCTGGCTCTGTGTTGTTTCCGCTGGCTCTGTGTTGTTTCCGCTGGCTCTGTGTTGTTTCTGCTGGCCCTGTGTTGTTTCTGCTGGCTCTGTGTTGTTTCTGCTGGCTCTGTGTTGTTTCTGCTGACTCTGTGTTGTTTCTGCTGGCTCTGTGTTGTTTCTGCTGGCTCTGTGTTGTTTCTGCTGGCCCTGTGTTGTTTCTGCTGGCTCTGTGTTGTTTCTGCTGGCTCTGTGTTGTTTCTGCTGGCCCTGTGTTGTTTCTGCTGGCCCTGTGTTGTTTCTGCTGGCTCTGTGTTGTTTCCACTGGCTCTGTGTTGTTTCCGCTGGCTCTGTGTTGTTTCTGCTGGCTCTGTGTCTGCAGTTTATATTTCATGCCATGGTGCTGCCAGGCAAACAGAGTACCTACCAAGTGTTATTCCAGCCAAACCTTATGTTAACATCAACTCCTAGGGGCCGAGCAATCAAGAGATTTTATGAAGAACATTTGTGCCGACTGAGAACTGATTAATTATTCATGCATGTTTGGATCACAGTTTTGTTTAGTGTAACTGAGTGTTCTTCTGACATAACATTCTAAACCTGCATAGTCAATGGCAACAGCTCTAGCCATGCCACCCTAACTCCTCAGGCTCAAAACTCCCCTGCCTACACTACACAAAGGGGTGAATACATGTAATAATGGCTGTGTTATGGTAGTCGTCGTTTGTTTTGCTGTGTTTTAACCTTGTGATGACCTGTTGTCCTCGACTGTTTCAGTATCTACATGACCAGGGCATCACCCACAGGGACTTGAAGGTAAGCTGGGCATTAGTTAAGACTTCCACTGCAGAACTGGTGGTGCCTTATGTGATTATCACATGTGCGACTACCAGTCTGTTGTAACTGCTGCTTTCATCTATGGGGAATTACATTTCTTGTGTCAGACTGTTTGTGTTGGCAGTTCTGACAGCTGCCTTTGGTTTTTAATGTGCAGGTAAGCTATTGGATGTGCTGAGACTGCAGTCTGTGTCAGTTTTTCCTCAAGGGACAGGGATGGACATTCTTTGTGGTTTTCATGGCACAGGATTGGAGCAACTATGGGATGACCCATTTGCCATGAAGCTGGGACTGCAATTACCTGATTAGTTGATGGTTTAGTTGATGGTTGTTTTAAATTATCAGTTTATTGTTTAATTGATAGTTGATTTATTAGTTTATTGTTTAATTGATGGTTGATTTATTAGTTGATTGTTTAATTGATAGTTGATTTATTAGTTGATTGTTTAATTGATGGTTGATTTATTAGTGATTGTTTAATTGATGGTTGATTTATTAGTGATTGTTTAATTGATGGTTGATTTTTTAGTTGATTGTTTGGGGTTAACATATTGATAAATTGCAACCCTCAGATATTTATAAATACAATTAGATTGTTACGCTATCATCAGAAGTGGCACTTTGTGCTGGCCATTGAAGATGGGGACGAAGCATGTGTGGACATATCCCAAGTACTAGGGTGTCTGTCCCTAACTCATCTTATTTTTAAAGACCAGTCAACACTTCATTGCTGATGTCATCAGTGCCACTTTACTTCCCAGTAATTTTCCTGGTACCCTTTTCAGCAATCTGTGGTCATGTGCTTAATCCACTGTGGGCCAAACACTGGGATATCAGCTCCAGTTCTCTTAGGTTTTCCCAGAGCTAAGTTGTCAGGTCTACATTGTGCCACAACTCTGTCAAGATAGCAGAGTCTTGCAAGACATGTTCTGTTCTGCACACAGGCTCTGACACAGTGATGTCTGGCTCATACCTTATGTTTTTGAGTGTCTGTTGAGTGTGCAGTGCCTAAGCGCAACATTTTGACCTTGTCTGTTCTCTTCAGATGTGTGAGGAAATCTTTTTCATGGTTATAATCTGTATTAGTTTTGCAGTCTGTTCCTGGTACCAATATTCAGCTGGGTGACAGATCCGGTTTTGCCTACTCTGATGAAGATTCACACACTAACTGCCAGATTGGTAGGCATGTGAGCTAGACACACCATTATACACCCCCCCCCCCCCCCCCACTGCCTTATTGAGAACAAGAGTTAATATTCCATTCTGATTTTTTTCTTCTTCCACAGCCAGAGAACATTCTTCTAGCCACTGATGACCTTGAAACATTGATCAAGGTAACATCCGAGTTAGCAATAAGTTTCTTTTTGTTTATTAACTGGTCACTTTTTTTTGCACTGGGAAGGTCACGAGTAGTGAGCATACTTTAGATCTTTTCTCCAGGCTATGCCGGCATAGTGGGTAATGAACAGGCAGACAGATTGGCTGGATCTGCACCACTGGGTGGTGAATTGATGCATGAAAAGGCAGATGTGGTCAAGGCCCTTTGGAAACAAGCAAGGAATCAGTAGAGAAACAATATTATTATGGCCTGGAGAGAATGAGGCACCTGGGTGTAACCAGAGGGTCTGGCCGGCTCACTACACTCAGAGGAAAGGCAAGACGGACATATAACCAGATTGTGACCGGTACTATCAGTATTGGTATTCTGCGCTGGCTGCTGAAGATGAGGACAGAGCACACATGGGAGTGCCCCAAGTGCTGTGATGTCAAGATGAATAGACCCACTGCCCCATAACAAGCAGTGTAGTCAAAAACATAAGTTTTTTTTTTAAATAAAAAAAAAAGTAACTGCTTGCCATTGAAATATTGTGAAGAGTTTTATAAGCAGAAAAGTCTAGACTCTCCATTAGCTTGGGCTGTGGTCCCCATGCCTTCTTGTAGCCCAGTGGACTGACCACTGTTGTTTAGATGTTTGTTTGTTTGAAGCCATGATTTGTTAACCCATAGGCTCGGTATTATGGATATCGCAACCTTTTGGCCTTGATTCCATTGTAAATACTGTAAATCTGGGAGAAATGGGGTTTTTCTGCCTACCCCCGGGATTGAACCCGGACCACAAGGAGTTTGTCACCCAGTCTCCGCGCAATCAGGTTTAGCCAACTACGCTAGAGAGCCGGGCCTGTTGTCTGGACAGATGGACCACTATTGTCTGGACAGATGGACCACTGTTGTCTGACCAAGTGTTACAGCATAGCTGATAATAGTATCTTTGAAGGAAAGCATCCACTTGTGTGTTCAAGGGCTCTGTTATGTAGGGGGGGGGGGGGAACGACCAACTGCCTTCCAAACAAGTATGTCTTAAGAGTCAAAGTCAGAGAGCATCCGCCTGAGATGCAATGAACAAACAGTCTGGATACAAATAAGCCAGATCTGTACAAAAAAGGATGTGCATACAAAACTCAATTTCTGGAACAAGACTAAAAATCCAGAAGTGGATAAACAACCAGAACTGACTGTGGGATTTTACAGCCAGTGAATATGAAGAAGGTGGCAGATAGCAGAAGAAGCTGGTGTCAGGCAGCACTGCATGAGCAGCGGACATTTACAGTATTCTGGACATAAGGATTCCTGAGGTAGGGAAACTGTCAGAGAATGAAGATTTCTGGCTGACCATACTGAGAGCTGCATTGTACAGAGACTCTGAAATGTGAGGATGATAGCCAGTTTGTTGTACTGTTCTGCATCTCCTCAGGTGCATTACCACAAAGTTACATCAACATATAATGAAGCAACAGAACTGAATCCTGTCCACTGAAATACACTCTTCACATGGTCTTCTCTAGATACTCTGTTCATCTCACTGCTGGAAGTTCAAGATGATGTCCTGTGACCACCATGGCAATTCCAATTTACCACATGATCTTTTTGTTTACATAATGTAGGATTGTTCGTTTTTATTGTTACAGCTTCCACCAGCTTTAGTAACTGTGTTTGATGTGTGGTAAATTGTGCAATTATTGTTTGTTGTTTCCCCATTTGTGTGGGTTCCAGGGCTCTATTTTGGAGAACAAAGAGTAGACCCCCTGTCCTTCCTTACAAGCATGTCATAGGAGACTAACTGGGGATGTTTCCTTTAAAATATGAATGTATCTGCCTGAGAGACAAGGAACCAACAGTCAGCATACATATGAGACATCTATAACTCGAGTTCCGCATCAAGACCCAAGTCTTATTGTTCTGTGTTTGTTCCACGGTTGTCTCCCATAGGTCACCGACTTTGGCCTGTCCAAGTTTGTTGACGCAGGCTCCATGATGAAGACATTTTGTGGCACACCGACTTACCTGGCACCCGAGATCTTGCTGACGGCTGGCAGTGGCACGTATACTAAAGCTATCGACTGTTGGAGCTTAGGGGTAATCTTGTTTATCATGTGAGTTCAAGTCTTGATGTTCAACCCAGTGTTCCTCATACTTTGTTTGGAGACATGCTGTCTGTGTATGTGTTGTTATGTGATTTTTAACGCTGTGTCCCCCATACTTTGATGACAGATGTACTGCGTATATGAGGGCTGTCATGTGTGTTCAGGTATGAATGTCATCATGTGTTTTCATGCTGCTTGCTTGAAAAAAAATTTAAGTGTTTAGAAACAAGAGGATTTATTTCATTGGCACTGGGCTTGATCCCATGTGGCTCAGTCTCTGTCAGCATATCATCTGTCAAAAGTAAAACACAAAACAATGAACTTTGCAGCTCAAGCAATGATCCCTGGTATCTCTAAAACACCAGTACGCACAAACTGAAGAACTTCTTCTTCATGTTCAACGACTGTAAACTCCAGCAGAGAAGTTCTGGTTGTTAATGCACTTCTGGACTCTTTTGTCTTGTCACAGAACTGAGGTTTTGCGTGCACATTCTGTTTGTATGCTGACTGGTGGTTCCTCAACTCTTAAATGGGTGGTAGGATCTCCAACTTTGAAGGAAACTTTTCTAATTAGCTGACTTTTCTGACATGCTTGTTGTGAAGGGGGGGTATACTACTCCCCCCCCCCCCCCCCCCCCCCCGCCAATAAGGCCCTGTAATCCACACAGGGAAAACTGAAATACAAAACCTAGTATTCAAACTTTCAATGAATTAGGTGAAAGCTTTAACACAGAGGTGCCATACATTTTCTTATTTCCTTGTTAACATTATTTGCTTGTCTCCATATTAAAGTTATTTGCTTGTGGAGTGTTGAGATTATTTGCTTGTTAAGATTACTTGCCTTTTAAGTGTTGAGATAATTTGCTTGTTGAGTGTTGAGATTATTTGCTTGTTGAGTGCTGAGATTATTTGCTTGTTGAGTGCTGAGATTTTTTTATTGTTGAGTGCTGAGATTATTTGCTTGTTGAGTGCTGAGATTATTTGCATGTTGAGTGCTGAAATTATTTGCTTGTTGAGTGCTGAGATTTTTTGCTTGTTTAGTGTTGAGATTGTTTGCTTGTTTAGTGTTGAGATTATTTGCTTGTTTAGTGTTGAGATTATTTGCTTGTTAAGTGTTGAGATTATTTGCTTGTTGAGTGCTGAGATTATTTGCTTGTTAAGTGTTGAGATTATTTGCTTGTTGAGTGCTGAGATTATTTGCTTGTTGAGTGCTGAGATTATTTCCTTGTTGAGTGCTGAGATTATTTGCTTGTTGAGTGTTGAGATTATTTGCTTGTCTATGCAGGCTGTCAGGTTACCCGCCATTCTCTGATGAACGCAAAGATATGGACCTGCCCAAGCAGATCATGGGAGGCCACTTCTCCTTCCCCAAACAGTACTGGTCGGAGGTGTCAGACACAGGTGCCGTCTTCTCTCTGTTAACATATTCATCATCATCATGTGCCCTGCCAGTGTTAACATATTGTGTTTAGGAAATCTATCTTAAGCTCTGAGAATTTACCCCTATCTATGATTGTGATCTTTGAGCTCATTGGAAGGACATTCCCAGCTGCAACCACTTGTGATGGAGGATGGAACTGACTACAGCATGACAAACAAAGCTAGCTCATGGAATCATCCACCTAGGTTTTTTTTGTTTTTTTTTACATTGACGTGGTCTCTACTTATGTAAGGGGAAGGGTGGGGATTTTGGTTGTTCACCCACTTTTGGACTTTGGTCTTGTTCCAAAACTTGTGGTTTGCCTGCACATTTGTTTTACAGATCTGATTTACTTGTGTACATACTGTTGGTTCCTCCCCTTTAAGGCACATTTAGGCCAACGTTACAGGAAGCACCCCTGATTAGTTGACTTTTATGACATGCTTTTGATGCATGAAATATGCATTTTAGGGGCGAAACTCTGGGTCTATGGGGGAGTTGGATTTCAAAGTAAAAAGTAAGTACATTTTACTGAAGAAAATTTCACGTTAAATTTGTGAGCATTGTCAGAATGTTGATTTGTTAATGATGTGTTGAAATTGTTGGGTGTTAGGTGTTTGTTGGAATATTGATTGTGTGAATGTTATGTTTGTTGGAATATTGATTGTATGGGTGTTGTGTTTGTTGGAATATTGATTGTATAAATGTTTTGTTGGAATATTGATTGTATGGGTGGTGTGTTTGTTGGAAAATTGATTGTATGAGTGATATGTTTGTTGGAATATTGATTGTATGGGTGTTGTGTTTGTTGGAATATTGATTGAATGGGTGTTGTGTTTGTTGGAATATTGATTGTATAAATGTTTTGTTGGCTTATTGATTGTATGGGTGTTGTGTTTTGTTAGGATATAGATTGTATGGGTGTTGTTTTTGTTGAAATATTGATGGTATCAGTGTTATGTTTGTTGGAATATTGATTGTACTGGTGTTGTGTTGGTTGGAAAAATTGATTACAGAAAGATATTTTGTTTCAGCGGTGGATCTGATCAAACAGATGATGATAGTTGACCCCAAGAAACGGATCACATTTGCTGATGTTCTCAATCATCCATGGCTGAAGGTGAGCATGTGACATGCAAGTTAAGACATGTGTTTACCTGTGCTTCTTGGAAACAGGTTACTATAGGCATGAGGGTTTCACGGCCTCTTTGGGGATGCGGTGATGATGGTGCCTAGTGCGGGGTTTCCAGGGCAACAAGGTTAAAAGGGTAGTTGGAATCTAGTGTGGTTTACAGCTAGGCTGTGATATCTAAACTTTTTGGCCCAATACATCCGATTTCATCCTTCCTTTCATCCACCCCTTCCCTCCAAATGATTCCCCTGAATGGTTTACTTATAATTTTTCTGTGACATTTAAATTGTTATAATTATTCTTTCTTCTTTATTCACCGGCTGTAAGCTCAAGCTGAAAGTCCTGATTGTTCATCCATCTGGACTTTGGCTTTGTGCCAGGGCCTGTGTTTTGCATGTACGTCTGTTTTACTGGCTTATGTGTGTGCAATTGGTCATTCCTTGCCTCTCAACAGATGCACTCTAACCTCAGAGAAGCTTCCAGTTAGTTGACTTCTACGACGTGCTTGCTGGAAAGGTTATAGGTCTATTTTCGCCACAATGGGATCCACAGGGAATTTAAATAGAAAAATGCCAATGTTCTTCATGCGTAACTGTAAAATGTTTCATGATTCACCTCAATTTGCTGCCACAGGAAAGTGACATGACCTACTTTGATTTGTTTGCTGGCGCTGTCCTCTAGGCTTGCCTGTGATATGAACTTAGCCAGACCTGTTGTGAGAGAATGAACTTATGGAGTCTCTTGTGTGAAGTTCTTGTCTTCTTTGTGTCTTGCAGGATGATGGGATGAGAACTAAAGCCATGGCCTTGATGTATCCAGACACTGATGGCATGGCTCCTCCAAAGCTGGTCAGTAATTGAGTGATTTCCTACTTTCTCTCTCCTCATTCTCCTCCTCCTCACACTTGACCTTAAACTCCTCTTCCCTCTGCTGCTCTTCATTCATTTTCTTCTTTCGGAACTTGTTACGAAGTCCAGGACAGATAGAGCGGGCTTTCATTCATATTTTCTCACCTGTGACACAGGCTAGTCTATGTTAGAGGGGTGTCATGTTGTCTTGTGTTCTTGAAGAGCTCTGTATATTTCCTATAGATGTGGTGAGCTACGCAGTGTGTTTTACTCGATTTTTGTGAATGGTCAGCAACATTGCGTATATTACGGTATACAGGTACGACATGAATTTAGGTCAGTTGTCAGCGTTGATGAGCAACAAGGAAGAGAGCATTGCTTTTCTGCAGCAAGACTGGTTTTTAGGGTGCAGCGGAAAATGTTAACACATTGGAAACTATGGGACGTACTCTGGACTCTCGTGGGACTGCAGTTGTGGGGTAGGGGGCGCTGGGGTTGGGGCCGGTTCTATATGTTCTGGGGTCGTTAAAAAAAACGGTGTTGTCATGTAGTACAGAACATGCAACATTGCCACTGATAGCATCGGAGACGATGTGACACCCCTGTAACATAGACTAGCCAGTGTCACAGGTGAGAAAGCAAGAATGAAAGCCCCATAATGCTCTATTTGGGCCAGAATTCATAATAAGAACCCTTTGTTCTCTTATTGTTATTTTTATCCTGTTTCTTAGACTGGAAATGTTACAAATAGTGGAGAGGATTTTAATGAAGGGTTACATACTGTACTTTTCACCTCATCTGTTGCCTGTTACCCTGAATATTCTGGTGTGTGAAGTAATGGGCAGGCTGACAGATTGGCTGCTGCAGCTCCTCTGGGTGGTGAGCTACTTTATGACGAGGGGGGGGGGGATTTGAGCTGAGGTTCTGGAAGACATTAAACTCTGAGAGGTCAACTTAAGCTCCTTTTTAATCAGGTTGCAGCGGTACTTTTATCATGTCGTCTTTTTTGTTGGCTACCAAGGAAGGGGACGGAGTGCATGTGGAATTGACCTGAGTGCAGGGATGTCAGTCCTTGATTTATTCATCGACCCCATCTTTCCTGTCTCTGCCACTGTCCTCCTCTCCCTACTCTAGTGTGTATATTGTTGTAGGATCTACAGCCTGTTTTTTTATTACATCACGCTGTCCGCAGTCTGTGTGTTCTGTGCCCACACATGCTCCACTAACCATAGATCTGTTTGGTCTTCCTACACACAGTCTGTGTGTTCTGTGCCCACACATGCTCCACTAACCATAGATCTGTTTGGTCTTCCTACACACAGTCTGTGTGTTCTGTGCCCACACATGCTGCAGTAACCATAGATCTGTTTGGTCTTCCTACACACAGTCTGTGTGTTCTGTGCCCACACATGCTACACTAACCATAGATCTGTTTGGTCTTCCTACACACAGTCTGTGTGTTCTGTGCCCACACATGCTGCAGTAACCATAGATATGTTTGGTCTTCCTACACACAGTCTGTGTGTTCTGTGCCCACACATGCTGCAGTAACCATAGATCTGTTTGGTCTTCCTACACACAGTCTGTGTGTTCTGTGCCCACACATGCTCCACTAACCATAGATCTGTTTGGTCTTCCTACACACAGTCTGTGTGTTCTGTGCCCACACATGCTCCACTAACCATAGATCTGTTTGGTCTTCCTACACACAGTCTGTGTGTTCTGTGCCCACACATGCTGCAGTAACCATAGACCTGTTTGGTCTTCCTACACACAGTCTGTGTGTTCTGTGCCCACACATGCTCCACTAACCATAGATCTGTTTGGTCTTCCTACACACAGTCTGTGTGTTCTGTGCCCACACATGCTCCAGTAACCATAGATCTGTTTGGTCTTCCTACACACAGCCTGTGGCCAAGAGGAAAGCAACAGAAGGGGATGAAGAACCCACTCGGAAGAGGAAAAGCTCTAAGGATGATTGAAACATCTTACAGGCACATGTCAGAGGAGATGATTGGTCCAGTTCTGCTGTAAGTTGTCTGGTTCATAGATGCATGTTGAAGTTTTAAACAGCTGATGTGATTATGCCATGTAGCATATGTATGTTGGCTGCTACATTTGTATGCTGTGTATGTTAGCCTGTATGTTTAGAAAATTTAGTTGACATAATTTTACACATACAATCTGCAGTTGTTTGTTCTTGTTATTAACATGGCATTACACCATCCGGGTCTAAATGTTTCGGTCAGTCGTTGCAGATCTTATTCTATTTTATATTAATTTACACATGTCAGTATTTAAATGAGTTTAGGGAAGCAAAGGGTGCCTGGCCTTAGTGTGAAGGCTGACTGTGATGGGTCTCCTTTGCCTCACGTAGTAGAGGTTGGTGAATTCATCATTCAGCGACTTCGGATAGTAGATGACATTGTTGTTTCTACTGCTGCTTCAGTCATTCATATTTTTTTTATTTTTTTTTTTTAAATCCTACTACTCTTCCTCTTTTTTTTTCTTCTTCTTTCTCTGCTGCTTCATCTCTGCTACTCCCTTTCTCTGCCTTTCTTTCTTTCTTTCTTTCTTTCTTTCTTTCTTTCTTTCTTTCTTTCTTTCTTTCTTTCTTTCTTTCTTTCTTTCTTTCTTTCTTTCTTTTCTTTCTTTTCTTCCTTTCTTCTTTTCTTTCTTTCTTTCTTTCTTTTCTTTCTTTCTTCTTTCTTTCTTTTCTTTCTTTTCTTTCTTTCTTTCTTTCTTCTTTCTTTTCTTTCTTTCTTTCTTTCTTTCTTTTCTTCTTTCTTTCTTTTCTTTCTTTCTTTCTTTCTTTCTTTCTTTCTTTCTTTCTTTCTTTCTTTCTTTCTTTCTTTCTTTCTTTCTTTCTTTCTTTCTTTCTTTCTTTCTTTCTTTCTTTCTTTCTTTTTCTTTCTTTCTTTTCTTTCTTTCTTTCTTTCTTTCTTTCTTTCTTTCTTTCTTTCTTCTTCTTCACCTGTCAAGCTGTTTATTGCAAGTACAATCTGTTTGCATACAAGTCTGGGCTGTTAGGTTTGAAGAGTTCCACATTGAGGCTCTTGGAGGTTCCTGTGTTTTTGTTATTGTTGTTGTATTATAGTGTATTATTTGTTGACATATTTACACATGTCCTGCGTGTGTTCAGCTGCACCGTGTAGTATATTGACATGTTTGCTGTATATGTTCATCTGTTCAGTTTGATGTGACCTTTTTTTTTGGGTATACTGATTTGGATACTGACTAGGAGAATGTTCTGTGCCATTTCTGTTTTGCATTAACTCCATTTTGTAGCTGCTGACCTGTAAGTAAGGCTTGTCCTTACATTGTGAGGTATTTTCCCTCTCCTGTCAGTCTTAATGTTAGACTTACTTTGAAAAGGACAGTGCAGACCAATTAAGGCAGTCTCCGATGTGGCTATTTTCTGTTGTAAAGAACAATTTATTTATCCCCAGCAATTTTTCATGCTTTAACTCTTATCTGGATAAGAGGAATTTCTGATAAGAAGATACATTTTTTTTGGGTCCTCTGTGAGTTTTTCTTATCAGTTGAGTTAGAACAACTTTGAATGAGGGCTGGTGCTACACTGGGAGGTGACTAGCAGAAGAAGTAATGCTAAGACACAGAAAGGCTGGACATCTGGGAAAACACTGGATGATGATAGTTTTCAATTTTAAATGATGAGATGATGTTTTTTTAATCGTTGAATAACAATAGTACCAGTGCAGGAAAACTGGTGCTGGAGCACACGTGATGGTGCAGGAAAACTGGTGCTGGAGCACACGTGGAGGTGCAGGAAAACTGGTGCTGGAGCACACGTGGAGGTGCAGGAAAACTGGTGCTGGAGCAGATGTGATAGAGGCAGGAAAACTGGTGCTGGAGCACAAATGGAGGTGCAGGAAAACTGGTGCTGGAGCACATGTGATGGTGCAAGTAAACTGGTGCTGGAGCACACGTGATGGTGCAGGAAAACTGCTGATGGAGCACACGTGGAGGTGCAGGAAAACTGGTGCTGTAGCATAGATGGCAGTGCAGGAAAACTGGTGCTGTAGCATAGATGGCAGTGCAGGAAAACTGGTGCTGGAGCACACATGATGGTACAGGAAAAATGGGGCTGGAGCACACGTGATGGTGCTGGAGCACACATGATGGTACAGGAAAACTGGAGCTGGAGCACACATGGAGGTGCAGGAAAACTGGTGCTGAAGCACACGTGGCAGTGCAGGAAAACTGGTACTGGAGCAGACAAGGAGGTGCAGGAAAACTGGTGCTGGAGCAGACAGTGGCAGTGCAGGAAAACTGGTGCTGGAGCACACATGGAGGTGCAGAAAAACTGGTGCTGGGGCACATGTGGAGGTGCAGGAAAACTGGTGCTGGGGCACACGTGGAGGTGCAGGAAAACTGGTGCTGGAGCACACGTAGAGGTGCAGGAAAACTGATTCTTCTTTGCCCTCCTCTTCTTCGACTACACCTAATGTTCCTTGAAGTATAATATAGTCTTTGCAATTGAATCATGTCTCACAACTAGCTTGGGACGTTTTCACCACTGCCAAAGGAGGCTCCTGATATCCTGCAAATGTGTTTATTTCGTCTTTTAAATCTATGTTAGGTTTTATATATATATCTGTCCAAGTAAGGGGTTTAAACACAGGTTGCATCTTTGATTGTAGGTTTTATATATCTGTCTCAGCAAGAGACTCGACACAAACATTTTTATATCTTTGTCTAAATGTATCATTTACCAGTTAAAAGATGTTTAACTATGTGACTGCCATACACTTTTGAAGTGATTTCTCTATTTTGAAATTTATTTACTGTCTACAAATGGTTTATTTTTATATTTTATTATAACTGCTGTGTATAAGCAGTTCATTTGTACATTATATCATAATTCTTGTGGATGTGTGATTTTTTTTTTTTTTTAACTTTGTTGATTTTAATGAATAATTCATATTTTGATATCACAATTATGTGAATGATTTGTCATAACTGCTGTATTTAAATGAATAATATTTACAATAATTTTTGTTGGTAGATATAATGATATGTTATCCCTCTCTACATAATAGACTATGATTGTTATAGATAATTAGCATGATTTATCTCCTGAATGATTGCTTTCGAAAGCATTTGATCAGAGTCACCTGTAGTTAGCATATCGTGTTATGTTGATTTTAACACAGTATGACCGCCAAGCCTGGGTTTGAATACACATTGATGCAGTTTTTGTTCTTCTTCAGAAATTGACTTTGGCTCTAAGGTTCACCCAAACTAAAGTGGATACCAGTTAATGTCATGGGAAGAAAAGGCGGCTGGCATGATGTTAATCAAATCACCCAGTCAGTCAGTCAATGAGCTTGTCTTTTACAGAACATCGCCTTTTTCATGGTACGCCTGAAAGCTTCTCCATCTGTAGCCAGTTCTCCAGCCCTGTGTGCTTTCATAGCCAGTGTGTCTTCGGTATCCTGTTTCCATCTTTGTAGAGATTGGCCTCAGCCTCTTTTTCTGGAATCTGTAACATCCATCACCGTTCTTTCCAGCCCATCATGAGGCTTGACATATCCGAAATATCTCAGCTTTCGAGAGGGGCTGCTGTTTACGAGCCAGTTCTCCTAGATGTTCAGGTCATGCAGCATGTTGAACATTGTTCTTCTTGGTCCACAGTATTCTAAGAATTTTTCTACAGCATTTCAGTTCATAAGCTCATTTAGAGTTTCTAGGGATAGATAATGTGGTAGTGCCTGTTAGGATGTTGCTGAGAAAGGAGGGGGAGATGTTATTGTTCAGAAGGAGAGTTCCCTTCCAGTAAAACTTTAGGAATCTGAAATTCTGGTGTCTTTTTTTCTTGTGTTTATTTGTCCCTGTCCCTACTTGGACCTGGTTGAAGATCAAGCATACCAACCAAGCAGAACTGTTCTCGTCTAAGTAGGATGTATACCAAGTTCGACTTTAAGAAAATTGAGGTAATCTGAGGTAGCAGTGAATATGTTGTAGTGGCTAACATACAACCATATGGCTAACTTACAACCATATGGCTAACTTACAATTAAATCATATGGCTTACATACAACCACATGGCTAACATACAAAAATATGGCTAACATACGATCACATGGCTAATATATAACCACAGGGCTAACATACAACCACATGGCTAATATACAACCATATGGCTAACATACAAAGACATGGCTCACATACAACCACATGGCCAACATACAACTACATGGCCAACGTACAGCCACATGGCTAACATACAACCATATGGCTACATACAACCACATGGCTAACATACAATCACATTGCTAACACAACCATATGGCTAACATACAACCACATGGCTAACATACAACCACATTGCTAACACAACCATATGGCTAACATACAACCATATGGCTAACATAAAACCATATATGATAGTGGCTGGGCTACAGCAGCCTTCAGGCTTACAACTAAAAATGGAGGGAAAGCACATCTCTGCTGGTTGTTGTGATACATTTGCATTCCATCTGTGTCCAGCATTTGTGCAGTATGTTTTTATCAGTGACATCATGTTTGATGTTTTCACTGCTTTGTGTTTCCATGTGTGGCTTGAAATGTCTTTAGTAGAATCCAGTCTGACATGTGCATGGTCTTTCTGAACTAGTAGGTGGTTGATAAGTTTGAGTCACTGTGTTAATTATACGTGTTTGTTGGTGCATTCAGGGGATGTGGGGTTGTGGCAATGGGGTGGGTTGTGTGGGTGTGTGAGGAGGTGGAGCAGGCAAGGTAGTTAATAAAGCCACATGACAGAATATGTATATATACACACACACACACATACATATGTATATATATACACACAGTGGAGTCAGAAGAGAGAATTATGTGTGTGTTATTGGCGGGATCAGTTATAGATAGTTTTTCTCTGGGGTAAGCAGGTGTGTTGGGAAATAAACAAACATACAGATTGGCTGCTTTGATACCACTGGGTGGCAGAAAGTTCTGG